AACATTTTGGATGTGAAGAATTTTATTAATGCGTAAAACGTTTTTTAATCTTTATTTATCCGAATACTCGTTATTTCCTTTGACTAATCATTCTTTGTACTTAATGTTGCTCCTAGATATTTAAAATCGCTAACTTTTTTATAGGCTAAATTTTCCGTTTCACTGGGGTCTTCCCCACTCTCAATTAGTTCCATTATTTTTGTTTTCTCAATGGTTATTTCAAGACCTATTTTCTTCGCTGCTTCTTCTAACACTCTGGTTGCGTTAGCTAGAACATATTTTAAGTAATTTTTACTAGGTGGCGCTTCAACAAAATGTTCTACCATTGTATTTCATAGTCGTGGTATTCTTCTGCAAATAAACATACAGGAAAAATCAATTCCTGTCACTATGGTCGTCATTATAATGTATTGGTTAGTGGCACGGATCACTCACCACTGGGTAGCATTCAATTATTACTGGGAGGCACTAATGCCACGTACTTAGTATATTAAAATATGATCTGGCTTTAGCAGTGTCTGCAAGCGGATCACCTATTATACTTAAATCGTCAGCGAAACCGAAGAGCCGTATCTTATTCTAACCGATTAATACACCACCTTCATTGTCCTGTATTATTTTTACTATCTTCTCTAGTGCAACATTGAAAAGTTCAATCGTGAATTATGAATCTATGTATATATATATGTATATCTATGAAATCTAATGATTTACTCGTTTGTTATTCATATAATATTATTTATTTTTATCCTTTCCTCTATTATGTTGAACTGAATATTTTGACTTCTGCATCTTGTATTTTTGGACCACAAATTATGGTTAGATACAGCTAAGTTTAGCTCTTCAAAATCGGTTTTACATAATATGCCGATACTCTTTTGTTTGGCAAATATTTCAGTTGTATTAATTATTATTGTCGAATTCGTCAAAAAAATTTTTTAAAAAAATACGCCTGTCGTTAGATAATACAACTATTTCGACAATGACTACAATCGAGCCGGAGGATTTGAACAAATCGTATAGTCTCGACTGTTACGATGAATTTAGAATATAATAACCTACGCGTGTACTGCAGCGCTGTCGCGAACAATCGTAAAAACAGTTGAAATCGTTTTCCTCTCGTGTTCGTATAAACGAACTTCATTTATTGGATTACTGACCGACCGTAGTTTTACATGCCGGTATTATAGTACCTACGTTACATTGCTTTGCAGAAATGTTTCATCCGGATAAATGGTTTTATTATTATTTTTTTTTTTTTTTTGTGTCCGAAGCTGGTAGGTAATCGATCATGATATAACTTATTGGACGATTAGAACTCGAAGTAAGAAGGTTAATCGTCCACGTACACGGCATTTCATGATAAATAATAATGACATAAATGATATGTAATGGCAAAAAAATATTAATAACATCAATGAGATGTATTTATACATTCTCGAACACACGTATATAATTGTGTACACGCGTTTTACACGCGTGTGAGACGTGTATTTAGCGCACTGATAATTATTAACCTACAAGACGAATCGTGTACAAGATTGTGGATAATAACCGTTATACGTTTGTGAGATCGATTTGTTAATCCTTTACCCGTCGCGTTTGTTTATTTCTCGTAGTCTCGTACCATAAATATTGCTCAACTTTACGTCAAGTTGCACGTACGTGTTCTATGGAAATACGATACGCCATGTATCCATATGCATGTATCTACGTACGGATAGGTGAACATGTTTCCTATCTATACGGAGCACAAAGTGACGTTACAGTCGATGCTCATGAATACGTTTCGGTTAGAATTCGTTACAAGTGAATAAACATCGTTGTGCACATCATACGCGATGGTATTAAGTTATTTTGTACAGTTCTAATGTAGGTGTGTACGTGCTTGATAATGATAATTACACGTACCAAAGCGATGAAAAGCAGAAGTCTGTTCTTGACCAAGACAATATAATACACCGAGTTTTCAAGGCGATTCGCCGGGAAACAATTCGATTTTGTTGATGCGACTTAACGTAAAACTGTATGAATATGCAACAATAAGAATTATCGAATTCCTAATACTTTTAATGAACCACTAGTTGATTTGATTTTTCAAACGTTTCTTTTTCAATTCTTAATCTAATTTTCGATTCAACTCTTGAATTACAACGTTCATAGTCGAATGCTTATAGTTATCGTAATGCGTTACGCATGTAAATTTATATTTTGAAGAGTCGCTCTAAAACGTAATCGATATAAACGCTTAGGAATTTTTTTGGTTTTGTATAAAAATGTGAATTTTAACATATATTAACTACACAGCCTTGAATAAACAGTAATGTAAATTTAAAATGGATAACTATAGCTTGTTATTATATTGTGTCCCAAAACCTGCTTGCTTGTCTACTAGAAAAAATATATGTATACACATTTGAAAATATTCAGAATCGATGTCCTACTTTTCACGAATTATGTAATCTATAATTTAATTAATTCTTTTATGTATGTGCCTATTTACTATATTCGACGAACAACATTGATTATTATGGAAATCGATCGTTACTTAGATACATTACAAATTTAGTACATATGAATGAACCTAAAAAACGTATGCTATCTTGACGAATTACAATTTCCATTAAAATCCATAAGAGATATAAAATATAATATTATCAATCTACAATGTTCACTTTATAGTCTCGGTAAAACTAAAATTCTTCATCTCTATTTTAAAATATCTCATGTGTGGATCATTGAACAGAATCATGAGGAAAATGTTTATCTATTTTATTACGTAATGTTATACATGGATAGTTATGTACTGATTTTGATACAATTATACGTTGCTGAAAAGTTTAGTAGTTTTTACAATCTTTTATTCTTATTTAATAAATGTTTTCCATGTAGTATTAAAAACGTTTATATACATTTTTCAATGCTTATGTTGTAACATTGTTTAGCTATACTTGTTTGGAAACCTTATTAGGCAAATGTTTAATACAAATTGAATACAAAACTGTAACAGTGACAACAGCGTTTAGATTTGTAAATCGATGGAAATTTTAACAAATTGACAAGTAATTTGAGAATATATAGAGGTTTGTGTGATTATCTAGTATGTCTACAGAGGTTGCGTGTACATAATTTATTTATATATATATATATATATATATATATATATATATATATATATTAAAAAAAAAAAAATTAAACAACAAAACTAATTTTTGTGGTACGCTCAAATTGTGTAATGGCGTCTGCACGTGATCATAAAAAACATGTAGGTATTGTTGTTATTACTACCTACGTGTCAACTGTTGAAAGACAGAATAAATAATATATAGATTCAAATACATCAATAATGACATTATTCCTAACTTTCTTTGGAAAACGCAATAGGTGTTTTTTTTTTTAATACAAAAATTTGTATAATTAAATATATAAGTATACTTAAGTATTGCTTTGTGTACAAGCTCGAAAAATAATAATATTATTATACGGAGTATCTCTCATAGCTCTTTGCTATAAAAGAAAATCAATTTTCCATCCACCTTATCCATTTTATCAATAACGACGTTTGTTTTCTATAACACGATCATTATTCTCTTTATTTGTCAATTGTACGTTTTATTAGGTTAACATTGTATTGCATAAACTTTTTCAATAAACCTAACGCGTTTCTAACACAACAATATATCAATATTATCCTAATACTCAATAATGCTATTTATTTATTTATTTTAGTAATAGACCTTGTAATAACGACAACAGGTTCGATAGACTTATTATGATAATTTGTAGTCGATTATATATTAATATGAAAAATACTTGAGATTATTATGGTTAGTTGGATTTTTTTTTTTTTTTAACGAAATGGAAATATCTCTTCTTTTTAAATTTTTCAAGCGTAATACATAATTATACGCGTACAAGCATAATATGTATCTTGAGAATTTACTGTTTTAAAACGCTACCGATGGAACGAAAACACCACTAATTCACACCTCGAGGAACGATTGAATCCTAGCGAGACATCATGTACGGCGATTACTTACACCCAAATAAACGGTAGAATAATCCAACAAGAGTTTAGGACTTCTGTAGATTATTTTGTTGACTTACAAAAACCAGTTTTAAAATATATTGCCTGAAAATGTGACTTGTTAAAGTGGACATTAAATTCGTGTATTATTCGAAAATTGTTCAGATGATTTTATTTTATTTTTGCAGGTGTTGTAATAGGCTCGTTAAAAAAAAAAAAACCATCTTAACCTTGAATTTGAAAACACATCCAAATATAGGGAAGGTCGTTGACATTTGCACTTTAAAGATAATAAATTTTCTCCAGATCGGTCATGCTAATTCAGTCACATAAAATGTGACCATTATGTAAAAACATCTTAAACGAGTATATTTTTGTTTTTTACATATTAATTCATTCGTTCACGGGAGTAGAACGAGTTTTGGACGAAAATACCATACGTGCCATCGTCAGCATAAACAAAAATATAAATAAAATATAATTATTATTCTTATTATTATTTTGTGTCACTTGGTTATTCTTTATTATCAAGTTATTTTTTTTTTTTTTTTTAAATACTTATTGGATGGGGATGTCCACTTTTTATCTCCATACACAAATCAAAACAAAAAAAAAAAAAAAAAATCAATAAATTAAAACTATTTATCTTAAATCTTAAAAATTTCATACATGCTTAATTTCAACTGTCAATTCAAATTGTACGAAATTATAATTTAAGTAGCAGAACTTAAGGTCTTAAATTAGTAATAGATTGTACTAAAAATATACAATACTAGACTGGGCACATTAAAACGTAATTATATCCAATGTTTTTATGATAAATAAAACATTTAAAAAAAACACAGAAATGTAAAATATACAACTGAATAATTTTAGAGAAATATAAAAAATTACTTATACTTAAAAAAAGCCCGTCAAGTGTATTTCGTTTGAATAATATATTACCAAGTTAAAATATTTCTCGTTTGTTTAGGTATTATTTCGGAACAATCCTGCAATTCCAGATCCACAGAGCTATGTGCTTGGCCTCCGGACAGTACAGGCCAAACGATCCGAATAAACTATTGCACAAGTGCGACATTTACCGGAGCAAGGAAGCGGGCACGATAGTGAAGTAAGTGACGTTTGTAAGAGTACTTAGTTCGCGTGGGCCATTTGAACAACACTGTATAAATGACCAAATTTTCATCGTAACCTTACACCGCTGACTTTAGATGGATTTCCCATATAAGTCGCGTATAAATATAATATATCCGATTATACCGCCGCGAGTACATAAATAACGTACGGAGAACATAAAAATATTTGACCTTATCCGGTCAAATTCTACCGTAAATCTTCGTGACGGACATTGCATAACTACACGTAGACTGGGTATCAAAAATCGTGAGTGTGCAGTACGGTGGTTTAAAAGTTCTAAACCATTTCCCAACATCAAACGCCGATGTACTTAACTGATTTACGTAAACACCGACCGTCTGTATTCATCGCGACAACGGATCAAAAGACTTTCGTGTAAACCAAATAAATTACGGTAAAAGTGTAGAGAAAAGAACGACATTTTGTTCCGTCGACGCGTCGACGTCGTGAACACGAAAACTGGTTGTCGCGGAGATCGCGTGCGATCCGTCGATTCCGATCGGGGACTCGGTGACTTGAACGTAACGACACTGAAAACAACTAACGTGCACGCGTGTTACGGGCAATGTTAATATTTTGCAAGTTTCGGCGTTATCCCATGAGTGCTGACTGACCGCACACTGGTAAAGCAAAATTGACAGTCATGTTTAGTCATTTTGCTTTTAGTGAAAATAAAGCATTATGATCACACACATATATGATAAGCATTATGATCACTAGATAAAACGTAGTTAGTCAAATCGAAGTAAAGCCAGTCGTCGTAACCTGACGGGGAGGACGTTGCTATTCTTATTTTACGGTTTCTTTCATAAGAAATCGAACAGGAAGAAAATAAATTTTGTTTTTGTAATCATAAAGTGACTGACGCTTTTGGACTAACGATATTAAATGTTCGAGGTTGATTTCATGCTTCACAGACATTTTATAATCCTATTGAATAAAATAAATAATAATATTATACAAATAATATGGTACCTTCTACTTATTTACTTAATTTTTAAAACTTTGATACGTATAGTATATAGTATGTATCAAAATTATGTACATGTATAAATATAATATATACAAGTACCTTTATATGGTTGACAATTTAACATAAATATATAAATGTTGGCATCATTTTGATATAACCATCCAGTAATTGTTTGATTATGACTAATCAAAATAGCGCACGTTCTATTTTAATAAAGCAATATTAGTCATGACTAAAGTCAAAAATGTTCTGTTTTGACTGCGCTTTATCAGCGTGCGTGTTTTCCACAAAATATAAATGTTTTATTTTTCATAGATCACAATAAAGCGCTTTTAGGCGCTTTAAAGCAGTTTTGCTTTACCAGTGTGCGGTCACCATAACGTATGACTTTTTGCGTTTTAACATGAAATAAAAAATTCTATTCGGGTAACATTCAAAAAAAAAAAAAAAAAATTAAATAACAGTTTTTGCTAGCCGTTTGTATACCATAGGATCACTATAATAAATCTCGACTTATAATCTATCTCATCATAGAAAAATGAATAGATCTACTATTTAGGCGTGCGCGAACCTGTATGTCAAAAGGTGTCTACAATACTTTTGAGCCCTACCTTAGCAAAACCTGTAGGTGTATTCGTTAAATTAAAATGTATAGATAATTAACTAAAGTAACGTTAATTTGTTATTTGTTAATGCGGCATATTACTCTCAACGAATATGTTTCCCTGGAATCTCGTGAATTTTTCTCGGATAGCACTTTTGCAGTCGATGGTAACTGTTATATTGTCATAAGTTTTTGCACGAAAAGTCAGAGAAAATGGTTTTACTATTTATTTATTTATTTTCGTTACGAAACATAATTTATTTTTCGCCAAATATTTCAGAATAAATTACGTTCGATTTGAGCAACACCAGTTACGATACAGCATATACGTATAAGTTACTCTGAGACATAAAGGCCCCATTCAGGACATTGACACCTACCGAGCGTACGCCAATGGTCCGGTGTTCCGGGTAGATATGGTATCCTAATGGTATCCTAATCGGACGGTACCGATTACATTCAGACGACTGATGTCGACAATAGCCAAACGTTAACATTGCCCGTGACCACATACCTCTAATGTATACGATTGCATCTAGTAAACGTTCTGCGCCATCGGAAACTCGCGAGATGTGTTAAATAACGACAGCGATGAGGACGGCTCACGACGGTCGTACACCGTCAGCGGGAACCCGCGTGTACAACAATAATTAAAAATGGGTCGACGCTACATTTTACCGACACGAGTCGATATACCGGTGTATGCAACCGATATAAAACCGATAGCCGATACAATAATCACAAGTAAAAACCAAGTTGATTTTTAATATAATGCATAGAAAAAATCAACTTTTTTTGGCAAAAACCACGAACCGATACTAAAATTGTTTTTTGCGGTTCAAATAAACCGATACCATCAACATCGGCCGATACCAAGAATCGGTTCCAGGATCGGCCTACCCCTAAGGAATAAATATCGACACGGAACATCCGACCGTTACGCAAGTCGTGACCAACGATTGCGAACGGGCGCGGACCGCCGCCGGTCGTCGTCGGACTTTCGGAAACGTTTCGATTTAAAACCGTAATTTACCGACGGACGTCGCGAACCGCGTTCAACGACGCGACCGTTTATTGTCCGACGGTCTCGCGCGCGCGTCCGGTCTGCGGTGCGATGAGAATCTTTTGTCCGCGGGGAAAGAATAACAGAAAATTATTAAAAGTGAAACGCTCGGTGGATGTATACCGTTTCCTGCAGCAGCAGCAGACCGAAATGCGGAGAATTTTATAATTGCAGAGAAATGCTATCACATGTTGTATCGTATCATTGTTATTGTTATGTGCCCGACGACGGGGAAACGCTCAACGAGTGATGATGCAACGAGGTCGTTCTCGCGTCTTAACAACAATGATAATAACAGTAACGATCATAATAATAATGTACTCGAACGTCCCGATGACATACATACGGTGTACGAACAGTGCGCGCGCGTATCATGTGGTGGTCGCGAACAAAAGCGACGCGATCGATTCGCGATATAAGATCATTAGGGAAACGGACGAAGATAACGACGGTGTACGGTCTAACCAGTGCGGTATTGCCGGCGAAGTAGCAAACGACGGTAGAACGTTATCGTCACGTGCATGCGCGTAAAAATATATTTCAATACGTTTCTATCGTAAACGGACCAAGATCGTCAACGGTACGACCGACGCGGCTCGCGGTGGCGTTCTATAAGGACGTTTCCTTGGATGGGTTTTTTTTTTTTTTTCTCGTTCAAAAAATACCGTCATAAAAAATATTCTTTCGGGCGTGGGCGCTCGGAACAACATGCGTGTCTTCTCTGCGCGATTTACGTAATAAATTATTTTACGTGTACATTTATTTCTTTTTTAACTCCGCGCCAACAAATTAATAACCCGCAGCATAACGTTACAGAACTGTTTTATCCCATTTTTATTTTCCTCACCGTTCAACCGTCTTGAAAACCCTTATAGATGGTGATTAGAATTCGAATGATCGGACGATGGATCTTGGATACATTTTGATGTTGTTTTTGCTTGCCAAGCACTATCCACTTTGTAGTATAATAATCTAAGTTCTCCGGTATACATTTCAGAGTCGTTTAACCTAACCTCCTTCTAGCTAATACGGTATTTAACCATTATGTTTGGTGATTTGTTGAGATATCGCACAAATTCCGATCACTCGTACTATAAGAAAATGTTTAACACCAATAAAAAAATTTAATGAATCTTAATTTTTTCAAAATTTGGCTCAAATATTATTTGGTTTTTTTTTTTTTTTTTAAAGAAAACTTATGGAAACAGGATCGTCAGAAAACTGGAGAGACACTTTATCGTTAGCGATCGGAGAGAATAGGCTCGACGGTTCGGCTTTGAGAGAATTTTTTCAGCCACTGGAAGAATGGTTGAGAAACGAAAACCTCAGGACAGAACAGTTCATTGGATGGACTTATGGTATGCTATATTACGAAAAATGTTTAATGTTATTTCGATATTTTTTTTGGCTACATATATTTTAGTATATTAGTATTAATAAATGTATGAAAAACAAATGAAGATGTGCGACCGGTTAACCTCGCACAACTTGGAATATATATATATCTGAAAAAAAAAAATTTAGAAAACCATTGCCAATATTCGTCTGTAATAGTATACGCATAAAACATTATATACTTGTTTGTCAATATACTTACAAAGTGTTGGTCGTTTTTACCAATCTTAAGTGTACTTATGATTATATAACTTACACGGAATTTTTCAAAAGTTCATTTTACAATCTTTCATTCGATTCCAGATGGAGATTACTGCAAACACAGCATAGAAACGGCTAATCTACAGGTGTACGGAGGATTTTACAACGGAGCCACTTCATTTCCTTTAACGACGACCTTAGTATTATTAACGTCACTATTATCATTGTTGTTAATACGTTAATGGATATTCAATTTTATGGATTTTTTTACACAAATGTTGTACATAGTAATAATACATATATTTATATACATTAAAAATGTCCATGGGTACATGGTACATGTAGCATTTAGATTTGCATGTATAGTTTCAGACTTTCAGCCGTATAAATTGAGTTTTTCTCGGACGCGGAGAGTTGTCTCTTAATTGCTTTCATTCAAAATTATGAACAATTTCGTAAATCTCAACCGTCTATTGTAGTAAATTTACAAAATAAAAATGTTATTTATCTATAAAAAAAAAAAAAAGTAACTATTTGTAATTACATAAATAATAATTATTTTTTACGTTTACTAATTTACTTTTAAGGAAACATATTATAACTATTATTACTTCTTAAACTTTAATTATGATTATATTTTAAAATATGTTTTCTAGTTTTATAGATAATTGTAGACGGTAAGACTGGAGCTAGTGTGTTGCGATATTTATTTTTTTTTTTGTAGAAAAATATAATGCTGTATACTTATATAATATATAACCATATTATAGTTACACGAACTTTGTGAATTATAAATAATTGCTTCAATACATGACAAATTGAAAAAAAATGCATTAATATTTTATGCTTATGGATAGCGAGTGTTATTTAATATTCTTCTAAAATATATTTTAATTATATTTTTATTAAACGTTTGTAACATTTTTATGAGGTTATTATTAGATTGGTTGGTGCGTTTATAAGAAAAAAAAAATATTAAATTACATCAAGTATGAAAGTATTAAAAATACGTCACTACAATTTTATGCCACTAATTCATCATGAAACTTGATTTTTAACAAAATAACATAAATATACTCTAGGGAATAATAAAAAAAAAATATAATGTTTTTTTTTTTCAAATTTGTAATACATTTGTGTTTCGGAATGATTATCTTAGCAATAAATCACGAACGATAATGTATTATTTATCATGAATTTCGTATCGTTTTAACATTTAACAAGAATAAAACCCCTATTAAAATAAAAATATTGAAATTGAAAAACATATATATGCATATAAATATTTATACACATAAAATCCATTATGTATGTCTACCTACTTCAACTGTCGAGAAGAAGATCATATTTTTGTCCGGTTTTTTTTTTTTTTTACTCTCCGGCCAATTATGTATGAATTTTAAACACATTCGTGTACGATTTCATGGTATCACGCGTCTCAGTGTCATTTATACTGAAACACGCGCACATCGCGAAACAAATAATACCACAGTACACACCATCTTGCATGAAATGTTATGTGTATTGTTTGTACAATATGTCGCCGGTACGAATTTAAATAATTTTATTAGATATTGCCACAGAATAAATTTTTTTTTTCCAATACAATCAACATACAATAATTCAGTGTTAATGGCATAGTACCACGAGATCTCGCAATTGGCTCTTATTCAACACACACAATAATCATGTCGTATAGCAAATGGAAAAAAAATAAAATTATATCACCACCGCGCATGTACACTACAATACGTATATATATGTATGTTTATATATTACATACGATTGTACAGAGGGGTTTTTTTTTTTTCCACGGACGTAGGTAATAATTATACGTATATCTGTGTCTCGCGGTTGAATTAATCGCGTTTATTGTGATCCTGCCGGCACCCTTCGTGCGCCCGACATCGGAGGTCCGCCGAAAACATTATGACCGATTCATTATGTGCTCAACTACGCGTTCGTACGCGAGCGCGTGTGTACGTGCGCCATGAATGAACCGATTTGCGGTTTCCATTGCACCCCTCCGTCGTTTACAAAACGTATATAATAGCTCACTTAACTCTCATTTATAGCGCCGACCTGGACAACAATGCACTCGGTTTCCCAGAGGGTCGTGTAATCTGTTGCGTGTTGTCCGCTAATCGGAGGATTTGGTACGCACGAATCAAAAGGGAGCCCTTTTTTTCCCCGTTACCCTAACTACGTCCGGACTAACGAGTGAATTAGATCCAAGATAATGCGTCAGTGACATGTGAGATTTGTCAGTGTCCGTCCAGCAGCATCCGTTCGGGCGCGGAACACGAAAATTAATCGTGATTATTATTGTCGTCGTATGTTACATGTGTTCTCGGGCACACGAATTGTAACGAAACGATCGGCAAATATTACGACAAAAGTCGTAAAAATAAAGTCGTAAAAAATAAAAGTCGTAAGATAGAAATCCGTCTTCGTGCACAAAGGCGTCGAAGAAAACTCATCGTCCGTGTTATTCGAAAGTTGTGGGGTGAAAATAAAATTGTCATCAAGGCACCCGGCCGTTGGTCGACGAACGTTTGGCCGACGGAGAACACCATCTAAAATGTTTACGCAGGACAACTATTCTACATGCATGTACGTTTGAACCCTTACGTTTTTCGCAATTTAAAAGTTTCGATTATTCGCTTTGACCGGTATAATATACGTGTAAATGTCGTACGTCTCTACACATGCCGATAAAAAAGCTAATGGATACAATAAATATCGTTCGGTTAAAAACTATAACGTATTTAGTCGGGCATAAAACAATGTTTTTATTACGTATATTATTTATATTCGTTCTAAAAATATGTCCATTATATACGCACGCATTTTTTTTTCTTTTTTTTTATTAATGTTTCTACACTCGTAAAATATGTTGATTTGCACGACACGCGGACGGTATTAATGCGCAAGGGTAATATAATACAATAACGTAAATCGGCTAATATCGTATGATAAACTAAGGCGATGCACGTGTGCAGATTAAAATACATTACGCACTTTTTTTCAACGATCGAATTAGCATATAACATTATATTCGGACGAAAATATATCCGCGTAGGTATATAAAAATGTTGGTAACAGTAATAACAATAATAAAGTACAAACCGACGGCACGAGCAGCGTTGTATTATACGCGTAATGCGATTGTCGTCGTTACGCGCAGTTGCCTATGGAATAAAAGAAGAAAAAAGAGACTTGTCGTTGCGTAAGGATTTTGTTCAAGCGAAAATTTATCATGCGGACCGTGTAGAAGACCTGGATAGCAGACTCGGTCTTCTTACACCCGGTTATTTTATCGTCAACCGCTCGTCTAACATTTGCGATGACGAATTTACATTTTGAAAACAATTATTTCTCGTACTATAACCGTCGCGTAACACGTATGTTATAATAAGCCTTTTGTTTTTATATCGTTAATAAAAGATTCGTCTACGGAAAAGCTGATGGACATGAAAGTGTTTCAGTTGCGTTTGTTTGAAATTCATCTTTGTAGAAATGAAGAGTACTTTGGAAACACGCAATCGAATGCAAAACAATTTGAACATTTCGTGTGTTCACGAAATATTCATATTTTTCATTTTTAAAATTCATATTTTTGTTGTAAATCAAACAATTGTTTACGAAAACCGTATTATCATTTTATTCATTGTCGTTGTTTGAAATATTGCTGTTCCTCGTAAGGATAAACACTGTTCCAAGGCCGAATGTTAACGTTATTAATACGATGATATTTTTAATAGGAAATAATATTCACGAGGATCACGATCGTTAACAGAAACCTTTACTAAATTATTCTTTAGTAAATTAAACATTTAACCACGCCAAATTTTTTCCTCCGTCCATTATATTTTAGTGTTACGGTTAACAGTTTCGGTTGCGATCCGAATGTAATTTTATTTAAATTTAGGCAAACAAAGTGGCAACTGCGGTAAGAAAAAATTAAACAATCCGCAAGAAAACCGATAATATTCATTAAACAAACTGCGACAATTTATTTTATATACCTACGATATTATATACTATATAGTACGTTATGTGTACGTACGTGTATCGTTTAATGAATAATGTTATGTTGCGTCTTGCGTACAAAATAGTAGGGTAATCCAAATGTATTTTTAAGTCTTAACTAGGGCCGGATCTTGGGGGGGGGGGACCGGGGCACTTGCCCCGGAAGTTTTGGTCGTGGACGCCAAATTACAAAATAAATTGTGTATATATATTAATAGTTTTTATTCAAAGTGTTATACAAATTACAATTTCTATTTCCATTTGACTTTATGGTTATAACAACAATGGGAAAAACTCAAAAAACCCAATGGATATTATTGTCTACTAAATATATTTTCTGCGACTCATTGTAGTATATTTTATTGCTAGTAGGATATCTACAAACTATAAATTATGATAATCAGACAACACATGATGTTAAAATCCGATTAACAATACCGATAAATTAATTTTTCTTCGGCATGTAAAAACTATCAAATTCAATTATTTCAATCGAAAATCAAATTGCCAAAAATTTAGATTATGATAATATAATTAACGATTTTGCTACCAGAAAAGCAAGAAAAATCAAAATTTAATGATAATTTGTTTGATTATTGTATAATGATTATTTTCATGTATTAGCTTGTAATAATTGGTATTTAAAGTTTTTTATTTAATACATATTTTTTCTAATCTAACAAATAGATATATTTTTTCTTTTATCCTCTTCGATTTTTTTCTTTAGAGTTTAACTGCTACATAAGTATAATTGTGAGCATAACAAAGGGTGAAGGCGCTAATTTTATACTTTGCCCCGGGTAAAAAATATACTAGATCCGGCACGGGTCTTAACGAAACTACTAATCAACGATTCCTTTACACTTGATAATACTAAAAAGTATCACCTACCTACTAGTTTTAGATGTCAGTAGAAGTAGTTAAAAGTTTAACTTTTGATTAGAACGTGATGGAATTTACAATAATATTTTGCCAGAATGGCAAACAATTTTAAATTCAAATTTAAATACGAATCAAAAATTAGTGGTCATAAAACATGAGAACACGCAAGACGCAACATAAGGGTACACATAGGTAGGTATATATGATTTAGGTACTATATAGTAAATATATTATCGTAGGTATATAAAATAAATTTTCGTAGGTTGTACGATGTTCCTTATCGGTTTTGTCGCAGACCGTATAACATCAAATTTTCTATTGTCGCAGCTTACATACGGACTTTTAGAAAAAGGGTCATTTCGCCGCAGCCTCCCGGACACCATGATAGCGGTACACGAATAATACGCACTCGGTAACATACCATCGGGATCGTATTGATCTACTTGATCTATCAATACTAACCCGTATTGGGTGTACGCGTCGTTACGTGTATTTCGAAACCGTCTCGGAACTCCGCGGACGCTTAAGAATTAAATCAAGTATTATTTACAACGCTGTTTCGTTTTTATAGATATTGTAAATCGGTTAACATTTCTATTCGCACCGTCTGAAAGTTACTCAAGTGTTTGTCGTACCGTTGATATTTAACAAACCCACGCGTTTTTAACGTATCAAAAATCGACAAATCGCCGGCACATCATTTTTTACGAGTCATGGTTCGAAATCGGCATTTCTGGTGGTTTTTCTTTTCCCGTGGAGCGATCCGCGGATATTTTTAACATCGCGTAAACGAACGAAAAAGTTTGAGAAACGCAGGACCATTTGGACTTGCGCTAAACCGGTTGCCGCATCCCGTCGGCTGTTTTACGTGTAAGTCGCCATTATTAACCTCTCGTGCGCGCACATCATACGCATATACATATATGTATATATATTTATTATCGCAGTTCATACCGTATCGTGTGCCGAGTGCTATTCTTAGCGACACATCGTCGCAGTACGTTTTCAGCGGTACACCTAATATATGTATACGGCGGTCGCAGTCTCGTAAAACGAATCCTGGTCGGCAGGCGGACCTTGGTCGCGAGGACTTGTCCAAGGACGTCCGGTGCAGGCACAACCACCGCAAGAACGTGTAACGTAGCAACGGCGGTCGACCGTATCTGCGCGTTTGCGGTGGTCGAGGAGCGGAGGCCGATCGTCCCGAGCACCGTGACACCGGACCAGTTCGGATTGTCTCTACGTCGAGCACGACCACCGCCAACCGGACATTGTCCGAGCCTCGTATAGCTATAAACTAACATTCTTTTACGCACGCGCACACACAAATATATCAGTAACGTTGCCAACGTGCCAACAGTAATAAACGTCGAAAAGGATACGAGGAGGACTCATCGCTCCTGCGCGTGCGCCCTCCATCCCCGTTTTTGCTTGAACGCGATGCGAATCAAACAACCGCGATCGTAACGACTCCGCTGCAGGTGGGTCGTTGCACGTTTCTACGAGTCCTAGTACACCCTATCGTGTATTTGATTTTCGTACGTTTTTCTACGGCGTACTCGTGTTCGCGGTCGATTTGATCGTGATACTCGGTCGAACCAATGGAAAATGTTCATTTCGTTTCATTGCGCAACGACAGAAAGTGTAATTTTTTTTTTCAGGCAACAATTATAATCTATGTTTTAACAATTGACAGTATGTACGTCATACTTCGTCTTTCCGGTCGTATTTTTGTATGCTGTTACGAAACATAGTACTGTATCGTCTAAATAGTTTAGAAAGATGAATACGCTCGATTGAATATTTTATACAAAAATGTTGTTACTATTGGTCTGCGTTACGCATATTGCTTCACTGTAAGTGTTAATATCTTTAACATTCGTCGACAGACGAACATATATATTACCGTTGTACCGATTTCATACATTTTAAAATGTACGAACAGTGTGATTTAATTAAACACTAACGTCATTGTTGAAAACATCGATTAAACATACTTTATATTTTTAAATTATAAATGCACATCTTACAGAATATTTCGCTCGATTATAAGCATACAAACCGTATAACTCGTATCTAACTAAATCTATATACATATAATAAAATAATAATAATAATACATATTTTAATTTTATATACATTTATGTGTTTGTGTACAAATAAAATGTTGATCAATCAACACACTTAAATTCTAATTAATACAAAACAATACATTATGCATCGTACGACTAGATTTTAATATTATTAATAGTTTATAATAGATAACATTATTGTACAAATTATTCTCCTTGCACATTAAGGTACAATATCGTATACATTCAGGGTAGGTATATGGAATTAAATATTATTCGCGCAAGACCATCACGCCGTTGTCAAGAGCATAACGTTATTATAACACCGCAGTGTGCAGCAATATCATTGCACATATCGCGTATCGTCGCCGTCGTCCTCGCGAGTGGATAATGTCCTGCTCATAAGCAGATATTGGAGAGTATTTTGGGGAAAAAATCCCCCCCCCCTCATAAAATATTTACGTTCCTCCTCAGAAGATTCAAGTACTTTCAAAATACGTGTTAGTTTTTCATTAATTGTCTACTATTGCTCTTAATTTATTCGTATGATTAATTTTATTAAAAATGTTCGTTTTTTATTTTATTATTTTATTAATTTTCAAGAGTGATAAGTTACTGACAACTAAATTAAACATAAAATGGACCAAAAAATAATTAATATATGTAAATAAAAAAATCAAATATTTGATAAATACAAATAAATAAATGAACACATGTTTATCCTGGATTATTATTAAGTTTATAAAATACGACCGATTTCGAATTAAAAATTCGTCATCAGGTGCATACAAAGTCAACAAAATCGCGATTTTTTTCTGCAATGCGATCAATTTAAACATGCTTCGAACCACAGCGGTTCAGGAGACATTTTAAAATGCCTCTATTTTACGCACAGAAAAAAAAATATCAAAATTTACCTATAAGAGATTTATAAAATAAAATGTACAGCAGATATTATTTATTTATGTTTGTATTAGACTACTGCCTGTACATATTTGGCGCCTAACGCAGTTAATAAAAACGCAATTAGTTGGTTTAAGTGAAAAACTTTATTATTGAGTAAGTAAGGTTGATGTAAAAATGTCAAGCCGTCCTCCCCCTACAGAAACGACCGAATATCCGTCTATGGTCCTGCTGTACACGACAATTCGTCGAGCAACAAAACGATACGCGATATATATATATATAGTATATAAACTATCTCGTTTAGTGTGACATTACGTAGTTGTATTGCGGCCGCGTAATGATTTCGAATACGTAGTAAAATCGTAGACCAATGTAATATGTAACATTTTCACTCGTCGCCTCGCGCTTGCAACACACATTAAATATATAAATACCTGTACAGATATTACGTACAAAAGTCGAACGGCGCGCAAAGAGAGATCTCGCGAAAACGAACGTTTAGGAAATTCTTCGTCGGTGTTCGTGGCACACAATAGTATTTTGTACAGACCGGCCGTATCCGTGAGGATATGCTACGACACCTGTGCGCTGAAAGTAACGCGGTAAAACAGCAAATATTCGTGTAATCACGCTCCAGCGCGCGAAAAACGAACGATACGCGATCTGATCGGATTCCGTAACGTTAAAACTAACCAGACAGCTTACGGTGACGATTCGGTTATGAAATATATATATATATATTTTTTTAACCAATAATCGATCTCCGGATTAAAGCCAACGGAGGTTTGAGGCGCGTGCAATTTTGCGCGAACAAATGTCTCTCGGTTTATCACAAACAGACCCGGTCTTGTTCTGCGGTCGAATATTTAAAAAAAATTGGACACAACGTAAGGCAGTACACATTCGTAATCTTACACATCGTTAGAGTATTTTGATTTATTCCAGTGTTGAATAGACGATTATTTCAAATCTTACGTGATTTTACACGGAAAACGTATTGGAGTACATAATTTCAATTCAATTTCTAGAAAATATAGATTTTTTTTTCAGTAAAAATTTTTCAATTCTAATCTCCCGATATCTTTTTCGGTTAAATAAATAGTATAAATAAAAATATTTAAAAACTTACTAAAATCTTAAGACTTATTACATACGATCGACATTAATTAAACGACTGCTCAATTGTAACAAATAAAGAAAATATTTAAGTTATTGGATTTCATTAATTGAAATACTTTTGAAAATGAAATAAAACCTTTTGAAAATTGTACCTTTTGAGTACAGTTGTAATTATGTTTTAGAATGATGATACAGGAGTTGAGTAAATCGACATTTAATAGAAAACATATTCATACAAAAATTATGAAAAAATAATTAATACATACGTAATACGACCACAACAAACGAATAAGGATGATTGTGTAATGGACCTCTTTTATTTTTGGACGCCGAAAGCGTTCCTTTGAGATCCAAGATTTCCTCTCACCCTTAATCTGAATTTGGTATTGACACAAGTGCATAATAAGATTTCTGCTTTTTTTCGTGCAGCATGTCTGTCGTGGAAACGTGTAGAATGGGCGACTAGCAACGGCTAGTAATATAATATAATCAATTTTTTTTTTTTTTTTATCAATACTACGGTATATTACAACGTCCATCGTAATTGTTATCATTGCGTACGTTATAATCGACAGCCGTTAAATCTTCGGCAAAATGAATCCGTTTTGCTGGAACATCTGCCTGAAAAACCAAAAGAATAGGTAAATCAATTACAATGTGCCAACACGTAGGTAGTAAATTAACACGTTTATTTTGTAGATTTTCCTTACTGTTCTACCCAATTACAATCAAGTAACATCAACTCAAATGCGAAATGAAATAAAACTATTAGGTTTGATGTCTTACTCGTTAAGAAATAATTCCCAACCAATTCATGATCGATTGTTTTTTTTTTTTTTTTTTTTTTATCAAAGTTTGCAACATATTTCGGTCCGACGTATGCGTAAAAATAGTGTTCAGCCTCACAAGTTTTGAAACGAACACCCTCGTCGTTGCCAGGTGTCCAATGCCATTAATTACTGTTACACACTTCGAACGAGTGCTGCGTTTCGTTTCTCGTTTATTTTGCAAAAACGCCATGGTCCACAAGTTTACGAAGTTTACATCGATTTTTCAGAACTCGTGTCCGCAGCAAGACCCGCAATGCCGCCCCGTAGATACGGACGAGGCGCATGCCGTCAACGCATTACGGTGCAGACTACATTATCGTTATTATTATAGTGGCCGATCGACGTGATAATTATTAACGTTTTAACAGCTGTCGACGGCGTACACAAGACCAACCGGGCCGGATGATTCGATTACGCGTCGGGCCGCGGCGGAGGAAATGCGTTTCAAAGGACGCGGCGATGAGCACCGATGAAAATAACCGTGAAACCCGCGCGGCGCGCGCGAAAAACATGGGAATAACAATAAAAATAATACGAACATAAAATATTACGACATCTGACTAACTTTCGCACAGTGCTTTTGCGGCGGACGCGGAGTAAAATACGCGGAACGGAATCGGCTTTGCGTTCAACGTTCGTGCGCGAACAGTACAATACGTACGCCGTACGCACACCTAAACATGTGCACGCACGTACAACGCACACCTGAACATCGTTTGTGGATACGGTATTTTTTTTTTTTTTTTTTAAATAAATACCAGCGAAAGAAGAAAGAAAAAAATTCCGAATCATATTCGCTCCGCGGACTTTTTGTTTGCGTTCCGGTGCAGTACAACGCGCGCGCCAGCGAATCTTTACCCCGGAACGGTCGGCGGGCGCGTACATTCATACGAATTCGTGTACATGATGAGATAACCGACGTAAATCCTAAACGTTCTCGGACGGGACACCGGTGCACCGTCCCGTGACTTGGACGTTTTTATTTACTTTTGGAAGTATTTCGTCGCTCGCGATAAGCGAAAATTATGCGTTGCGAGGCACACGCGCGCGTGACGATTACACGTGTTTGGTGCGACGCGAATAAAAAAAAAAAAAAAAAAAAAAACGTATTGCATCGTTCCTGTAATGTTTTCACTGATTTACGTTTTTTTTTTTTTTTTTTGATGAAAACGTCTCGTTTCGCGGTAAGTCGGAGTACCAGTACGAATTGCGTTGTGTGTATTACTCGTCGTCGATCACAACGTCATCGTTATTTTCGATCGTTATTACAGTTTTTGCTGAATACGTTTGGAATACTGACGCGATATAATTCAGATTTCGCGTAATTTTTCGAGTTCGATGTTTATTTAATCGTTCCCGTCGTACTGGATACTCTTATAACCGATGGACATGACAGGATTACTGTGTAATGATGTGCATCATTCGACTGTAAAAGACGGCACAAATATTATATTATGCATACCATTCATATGTACGTTATTTTTAAACATTTTCGAATAAATAAATAACGGTATCTTCGGTACCCGCGCGAACGACACGGGTCGAACAATAAATACTATTGACATCCCTACATTCAAAGGACAGGCCCAAGGTCCATGCCGCCGCATGTGCCTATATCACAGGGACACACACCACCCTTCACAGAGCTCTTGATCTTAGGTCGTCAGTGCATGCGCACCGATCAACGACGAGCTTATACATGCGATTTATTTTGACTTATTTAAATTTAATTTAAATAAAAAAATATTAAATTATTTTAATCCGTTCGACTTATGTTCTTCGTACGAGTGTTGAAGAGTATCCGGTTCTAGTGCAATTAAATTCTGCATTTGTCCTTTCTTTTTCAACCTCGCATCGACATCAGAAGGTCTACGGTAAAATAAGTAAGTGCTGCTTTATTTAACTTGGCAGACTGCATAATTGCCCTGATCGGCTCTCGAACCCTCTCAACCCTGAAAGCCCTCCCTCAAACAAGGAGGAAGGTAACAACCCATTAATACCTCACCGCCATTCACATTTATACCATCTCCCCCATCTTACTTCCCACTCATCCTTACTTCTCCTACATCTATTTTATTTTTTGTATTTTTGGGTTATTACACTACATATCTATAATCGTTATCACGTTTTACAGAATGTACAGTATCATGTTGGTGAGTTGTACTCCGAGTTCTCTAATATACGTTGGCTGTTTATGGATTGACCAAAATGCTTGTGTCATCAGACCATTCGGGAACAACGTTCAGTGACTGTTATTGTTTAAGAAATATTTTTGGTCGAGCGGAGAACCGATAAACTGTTTGGGTCACAGAAATGTGTTTCAGACCAACACAATATTGCGTACACAATACTACCATTAAAACTGATTTAATTTACTTTTTTATTATCTAATAGTGCACGTAAATATTGGAGTCGAAATGGTTTTCAAAATAACCGCTTCGAAGGTATGTCGTGCATATATGTACTATCTGGTATGATAAACAGGTACTCGTATACAGTTGTAATTTATACAGCGAATAATCTTATGAACGTGTTGTCAACCAAAACATATTAATATTGTACGTTAAAACCACTAAGTTTACACAATGTCGTCCCAAACGAATATGCAACCAACTGCAATATTGGTTACGAATCATCCATTTATTCATAAATAATAATAATAATAATTAACTAGTTTTATTTAAAATTAAAATGTTATGTCGAATGAACACCGTGTTGTAGAATACACATTTTACGGGTTTTCGTAATTTAAAATGATTAAATAAAATACATTTAATCTCTCACTTTAGCCTTTTTACGAGGTACTTATGATACTCTAATTACAATCTTCGATTGGTTATGGATTATAATTTTTTTTAAACATCTACATGATTTCGACTAGAATTATTGCTCTCACCATCAATTTTATTTATCACGCAAAAAGTTTTGTTTAGTTGTCGATTCCAAAAAGTAATTTTTTCAATTTCTCAACAATTTTCAAAAAAAAAAAAAAAATTGAAATGAATTGTCGAAAAAAATTTTCTATAAAAAAAAAAAATCAAAATTATATTATACGGAAAAAAATAGCTATACATATTTAACATTTTTACAGATTAATAGTTTAGAAAAACGTTGAACCTAAGTAATTATTAGTAAGGTATGTTTCAATATTACCTATAATATTTTTATTTTTTTTTTTATAGTAACATATTAATGTCTTATATACCTATATACATACATAAATTACAGTTGTATAAATTAAACAGGTAATTATCGTGGTGTGTTTTACTCGTGTATTATAGAGATAATAATGTTAAGCATCCATATGTTGGTATTCAAGAATAAGATTTAACGATATTGTTTTTATTTCATAAAAACCGCGTACGGTAATCGTGTCCGAAAAAAAATGTGTTGTTAAAATGATTCTTTCAATAATTTATCATAACGTGAAACCTAGCTAATTTTTATCCCATCGCGAAATTATCATTTTGATTCGTTTCTGTATAAGCTGCAAGATAAGTAATAAATATTCATGAAGTGGTCGGGTTCTATAATACTCGTATTGTATATTATTTAAAACTATAAAAGTCGGTAACAGGATGTTAATTTAAATAGATGTTTTGTGCACACATCAGTTGCACGTTTTCAAATCGTTTAGTAACGTTAAATCAAAACGCTTGCTAATCGTATGCACATAATTTTTCGCGTTTTCAGTATTTAGTGAGAAATATTACCCCATCATCTATCAGTAACAACGTTGTGATCTCACCTGATTTGCTGGTCGTAATGAGTCTTTTCTAACCTCTTGTCCTTGGCCCTGCGGTTCTGAAACCAAATTTTCACCTGGGTTTCAGTTAAGTCCAATGCGTTGGCCAACTCCGACCTCCTGTTCCGCGACACGTACTCGTTGTTCCTGTACTCCATTTCCAGGCTCAGCGTCTGTTCCGGACTGAACGTGGTCCGCTGCCGACGGGGTGCTCGGCCTTCTTTTCGTCGCCTCCTCTCCACTAAACGACAAAAATATGATACGCGTACGCGCGTTTTAATGACGATCGACGGACGCAAGGGATAGCAAAAGATTTCAAGTGCGCGCCGTCGGTCGTACCGTGTCCGGTCGAGGGGATCGATCCGATTTGGCGGTTCGTGGCAATCGCTGTTCTACGCGTAACACCACCACTGCTATCCCGTGTGCAACCCTAATACGCTCGCATCCTATGCGTGTACTGTATTTATTTTAATCGAATAAGGTGCGCGATCGCGTTCACGTTTTTCGCCAGCAGTCGATTAGGAAACCTACGAAATATTTTCGGCGGCTAAGTAGACGAGGGTTGATTGTCGTGTGCTGCGGCATTACGTACTGCAAACGGTGTATTATATCAACTTGTAACACAATACAATGTATCTTAGTCAATAAAGACTATACGTCCATACCAGTCGGCCGAGGTTACTGTAAGACTTCCGAGTATCGTGTTCCGTACATTGTAAGATGTGATTTAAGAAACTTAAGATGGCATGCCGGTTCGTGCCCTGGGGTTAATAACGGAAAGATTTCCTTTCTTTACGATAAGTATGTTTAAGCATGCTTACGTATGGCGATAGTTTACGAAATGTATCATTTAAATCACTGATATAGTATCGTTGATTTACTATATATAAAACAAAGGGATAAAATAAAATAACAGTGTTCACAATAATATGCTACACGTCGTAAGTAGTACTTATGGACGTGTGTAATTTATACACTTTTACAAGCAGTAAAATGTCCTCACGCCTAAATGTATTTATTCTGTATCTATTATAACATAACTATACTAATATGGCAAATTGTGGGCTGCCAAATTGATTTTAAGTGCGAGGCCCTAGACAATTGCCTAAGTTGTTTACCCGCTAACAACGACATTGCTTATGCAGTAAGTATTGTATACCTAACTAAGTCATCAAAATTTACAATATGGTTATTTTTCTTCTAACCCATCTTATAATCTTATAATTAATTGCAATGGCTTTACGAGAATTTTATAAAAATCAATGTTGTGTACATATTAAGTTATCATGAATTATTGGTAAACGCACTAATTATTTGTGATTGATTATCACCCGTGAATACATGTATAAATAATGACTAAAGTAAACAATATAATTGTAATTTATATAAATCTGAAGAGATTAACATTCAAATATTAGGATGCACATAAAATCTGTCTGTCCGTTAAAATCCTACTCAAATATTCGAATGCCTAAATAATTTACTCGTACATGATTTATCTTGATGTGGTTACAATTTGTTGATGCCATGTCATGTATATTACTATTGCGAACACAAAAATAACATAAATAACCTACTTCACTGCTGTCATCGAAATTTGACGAAGCGTAGGAATAGGTATTACTTTTACCCAAACGTTTATTAGCCAGTTAAACTTTTACAATTCTTTATTGCATATTTATATCTATATTTATACATTATATATTCATTATAATATATAATTACATTGCGCCTCAAATGTGTTAGTATAACTGTGTGTGCTATGTTATTCGTGCAATACTAAAGATTTGATAAATTTTTATGATTATTTAAACACATACGATGACGTATTATAATAAATTAATAAAAAAAAAATGTAAAATTATATGAATCACAGAAAACATATTGAACGGGCTAAACAAGTATGCTGCTGACAGATTATTGAAAACGAAAGGTAACGCCTGCACGAATCTTTTAAATATGTATAACTACCTACTGCTGAGTCAAGAACATTGATGTTGCCGACATTCAGATACGCCTAATCTTACGTAGCGGAATACAGATTAATAAAAATTAAAATTCGAAAAAACTGACGGGCACGTATTATGCACATAAAACGAGAAAACGTTTGTACTACAACACCGGACCATTATGGTGCATTGCTACAGCGGTCATTATGCTCGTGAATAATAACGTGACGTACTCGATGTGTTACGAAGGTGTTCGTCGTACAAATACGCAGCGTTGCACAACAACGAGCGTGATATTTTCATGAAAACGGTAAATGTGTTTGTTCTCATTACATAAATCGGATACTTGAACGGGTGTAATTCAATGATACCATCAACGGCAAAAGAATTTTATTCGGTATTAATAACTGTATCGCGCTATTATCGTATAATGTATCCCACGGATGTTTTGCGAACAATTAAATTCAACTCGAACGAATAGTATTTCAATACAATATTGTAAGCACACGTTCGTGAAATATAATTTTATTGTAATTGGCATTTATTATAATTATTATAATTATTATTATGATTATTATTTTAGTTTTATTTTCAAGAATCTACATTGCTAGCTTACAATAATTATGAAAACAACTGAACTAATATTGTTGACTATAGCTATAGTTTTAATACAACGCTAGCAATTTAATGTAACGATGGTTATATTTCTACATTTAAATATTAAATATCTTCATATTATATTTTTATTTTTTTTTTATTTTATTGACATTACACAACACATTATGTATTTGCACATTATAATATTTAGATAATTATTTGGACATTTCATAATATATTACTACATACTTTAAATCGTTTTATTTATTAAATGAAAAATAATAAAAAATAAACTAGCACAGTGAAATGAGAATGGTATTATTATTATTAATATCTACAAGATAATATACAACGAATAAAAGCTCAAGAACTTATTTTATATATTATATTATAAATCATCGGTTACAATCGTCCTAGGTTTGATGTGCAACATAATAATTATGCGGAACTTTGCATAACATAAAATGCGGTTTCGGAATAATTAATTTTATACACACTTGATGCTTCATATGACATATATTCTAATTTAAAATGTACATAAATTTTATTTTGGTGATAAAAAAAGAGTCTCTTTTCACTTGAAGGTAAATAATATATATTATACTATATTATGAAACGGAAAAAAAACTGAAGATGACATTTAAATATAGACCTTCGAAACATAATTTATAACACTTGGTAGTGTATATAATACGTTTAAGCTCATTAACCATATTCAATCATAAAAAAGTATTAAGTGAATAATAATTCAATAAATATATGAATACATACAAGGCCGTATCTGGAGGGGTCCAGGGGGTCTGCCCCCCCCCCCGAAATTTTTTCGATATTTTTACGAATGTTTAAAATATTTTTTTTTTTTTAATACCAATATAAATATTTTCAGTTAAAAATGACTTAAGCTCAAATTAACCATTTACTGCTTTTAGCTTTATAACATAATATCATATAAAAATATGGTATTAATTTTAATAAAAGAAGATTAAATTTTTTTCTGTCTTATTTTTAACCAAATATCAAAAGTTAAAATCTAAATTCAATAAAATTACAATATACATGTTTTGGACCCTTTGGACCCCTCCCGAAAAAAATTTCTAGATATGGCCTTGCATACATATATACATATACAATATTTGTATTTATACATTCATCATTCTATAGATATATATATATATATACGTTTACAGAGTTTTTAAAACATTTAGTTTTGTGTTTTAATTGGAGCATATTTTATTTTAAAATACAATTTATGGTGATTGATGATTTTAAAGAACAAATTAGTCTAAAATGTACATGAGCAAACGTGTAAACGTGCTTGTATGTGTGTGAGTGTGTTAGTCCCGATTACACATTGTTTAACTGGTTGCTCTATTCACAATTAAGTTCATGATTTCATTTTAATTCTGGTATGATTATTCCGTATTGTAATTGAAAATTCAATAATAGCCAGTATTCAATGAGTTTAAATTAGATTCCATCTTAAGAATATAATGAATAACATACGTAATTGCGTAATTATACGAATACATTACACTGAACTAACCATTAAAGAAAAACTACTGTTAAGATTTCCAAATAGTTATTGTAAAAATTAAATTCTAAATTTTTATAAAATAAAATGAAATGTCATACCCACATGATATTAAATATCAATAATAATGTATGTAGGTAATGCAGTTATCTAGTTGGAATAAGGTCGATGAGCAGAAAACCAATAAGTTGACAATTCATAAGGCCGACATAAAAAAAATATTTTATTTTAAAACTTTTACAAAGTAAGATTGTAGTGTTATATTCACGTAATCATAAACATTTAATTATGTTGTAATTGAATTATGTGAAATTCGAATAAATTACCAAAAAACAACTGAATTGTATTTGAAACGATAAAAATTATAAAAATCTGTTTCGGTGTTATCTACATAGGATGCCAGATGATATTAGCATGATTTATTTTAGTAATCTAGGCTACTAAAATAAATCATGCTAAAACAACTGATAAAAGAAATAGTTTCAAAAATTTCTACTTGATTTAATATTCACACGATTTATTATTAGATAGTAAAAGTGGAATATGTGTAGTAAAATCAAGCTTTTATTAAATGTCTACGCAAATAATCGACATTATTACACACGATTTAACATAACTATACAATTTCCCTTAGCTTTTAATTTGAAAGTGTAATTCAGTGACTTTTTAAATTTGATAAATAATAAAAATATTTTGTTCGATATTAATTTAAAAATCATTAATGTTTCGTAATTATTTTAAATTATTTATAATACTTGAGTTGTTTACAAATTCATATATTAATAATGTAACCATTAATGAATTATTATAGAATTAAAATTATTTTCGATGGCAGGTAGGAAAAATTTGATGTATGGTAGTTTTATATTTATTTTTAGTGTCAACTGCATGATCAATCGTGTAATCTTAGGTATACACCTATGATTTTTATTGATGACGATAGAAAATATAAATACAACAATGAGGATTTTTATATTATGTTAAATACCAATAATCTTTTTTGTAATATTGAGTGGTTTAAATATTTTGGTGCAAATCGTTTACTATACGTACGTGTATACTGAATTATAAAATAGTTGAGAGTATCGTATGTTGATTAACATTCTTTAAATATGAAATATAGTTCTAGGGAGCCATGAGAATATACGAAATTATATTATAGACGACTAACCTCAATTTGTAGCGATCAATATTAAACTACTCGTGGGCACTGGGCGATTAAGGCAAACCACTGAATCAAATGAAATATGGAAAATTAAATCCCAAAACAACAATGATTAAAAGAAACCAATATTTTTTATGTCGTAAACATGATTTATTAATAGCAGCAAATGTCGAGTATATTATTTTTGAGATCCAAACCGTATTTTAAAACGTTATCCTTGTCGCACCAATATTTTGTGAAAATGATTTCAAAAGCATTTACGAATCTTATAAAGTAAAAGGTCATGGTCAACGGAATGTAGTTCAACGTTATTAAAGAAAATCGAACAAAAATTTTCACATACAGTAATTCGAGTAATCGTCATTCATAAATGTTTACATAACCTGAAATTTGAAAAATATCTTATAAAGGTATTTTTTCAAAGCCAATAACATCGTTGGATTTCGATGTACGAGCTAACGAAATAGATTTACAGTTAACATTGTACGGGGATTACGGACGGGTTATTGACTATAAAGATCATAGAATTAAATCTGTATACCTCAAACCCTATGCTTCAAAAGGAGCCGCTGAGATTTCACGTAAACTTTTGAAATATGTGTTTTGAACACCGAGATCCTCAACAAATTTGGTCTAATAAGGATGGAGAACTGATGAATGAAATAATATTAGATTTTTGAAAGGACGTTTTATCTATGTTGACATGGAAGCTTATGCGATACGCAGTAGGTATTCGTTCGAGATAGAAACTGTTTCATATACGTAACGAATAATAAAATATGGTGTACAGATACAGCTGAGCTGTGTTCGGAAATCCGCTCATAAATATTGAATTCGGGTCAACTGGTATGGAGTCGAATTTTTCGAGCGAGTAATGCGACTCGGAATCGCGTTATTTCTAATGTTCATAGTGAAACCATTTTGGTCTCGGAACAACCGGGGACAAAACGGCATCGGAGTATCTTCCGACCGTTCGTGTCCCGTAAGCGACCCGGCGAACAGTACAGATATTTAGATGACGCCATAGCAGCAGGTGCTGGATTCATCCTACTGGCGTCCAGGTTGGGCTCTGAATTTAAAACGCTCACACAAGTCGGAACGTTTAAGGTGCAACACGCAGCGTCGACGGTCGTTGGCCACTCGATACAATCCGAAGATAGGCCGAAACGTACTACACGGGAGATCTACGCGCGTCCGCCAGGACCGATCGGTGCATCGTCGGTGGTATAATATTGCAATCAAACGACCAGTGGCGGATCCAGGATTTTCTTTTTTGAGGGAGGGGGTGTTGAAAAATGTTTTCTCTTAAGATATTTTTTATAACATTGCAGTCAGTGATTGATAATGAATTAAGATAATAGTAAGTAATTTTACACATTAATTTAAATCTAAGACTACTAATTACCATCCGTTTTTGGTCGCCCAGGGATTTATTTTCATTTATTTTTTACTACGATACGTGAATTTAAAGCATTTAAAGATTGCGGTTGTTCAACCGCGTGCAAACACGAGAAGTATACTCACGGAAAGCGGTCAAACCGGCGGCGAACGTGTGCTCGACGTACGCGGCGGCAGGCCGGACAACGACGACGGTCTGCTGCGCGGGATTGGTCACGGTGGTGGCGGTGACCGTGGCAGGGACGGGCGGCCGCGATTTCCTGGATCCCGAGCACGGTCGCTTGCCGCAGTCCTTGTTGTCGTCGTGATCTTCGTCACCGCAGACCCCAGGACGACGGACGTCCGTCACCGCGTCCGTCTCGTACAGCATGGCGAAAAACTTTCTTGGCGACAGCGGCCTACGGACAACGACGGCCGCTCCGCACTCGGTCATTGTTTTAGGTCGCAGCGGCTGTCACGGCGTGGGTATATGATGCGCGCACCGTGCACGGGCCCGAAGGGACTGGCCGCGGCGGAAACCAGCGGCAACGCGGTCTGCGGTCGACGACACCTACGTTGACCGATGGGCGTGTCCCGCGTTCCTACCCCTTCTCTGGGGGTTGAGACCGAAATCCGATCCGGCAAGGGACGGCCGGTGAAAGGGTGTTCGTGCATTCGTGCACACGGTGCTGCCCCGTGTTTTTGCGCGTGCATGCGCATCGCCGTGCCATTTCGTTTCACGTATTACACACGAGTACGCCTCGACACGATCGTGATACACTACGTGCAGCAGAGGACGCCAAAGTGAATGGAACATTTTTCTTCTCTCTCGCAATCGCCCTCGTAATACTATGCTCTTATTTTTTTAATATACATACATTTATTTACAGTTTTATAGAACTTTCCATGGCGTGTAATGTTTTCTGAATTAGATTTGGCTGCTTTTTACGGAGTAAAATATTCTCAAACCAAATCGATTCCATTTGGTGATCCCGTGAATGATCAACCACTACGGTTATACTTCTAATGAGCAGTTGAATTTCTTATGCGGAACTCGAAATCCTCTAGGATTCTAACCATCAAATATTGTACTAATTGAGTATTTTGTATATTTGATTGCATATAGTACATGCATTTTTACATATTTCTGATTGTATGCACTCCAGCACTTACATTAATATGCTGTCAGCGTTCAGGTTTTTTTTTTGTCATTCAATTGCGCGCGCGCGTGAGTGTTTGTGATTTTGTTTGTACGCGCGCGCGCGCGCGTGTGATGTGATTAACTACTACTTTCCGATGACGCCAGCACAGTGGTGTCTTGAGCCAAAGAGTTTTTGATGGCCACGTAAACGGAAAACAACAGGTGCAGTGATTCGATTTTGGTGTCGGTCCTCGGAATCCCAAAGTAATCTGAAACATCCAATCATTCGATTTAATTAGTGCGTTGTACCCGAGAATTGCGAAACGAAAAGAAAACCTACGCAAAAAAAAAATAAATAAATTTTATATTAAGACAGGTAACGTTGCGTTGTGTTTCCGGTTGACTTGCTAGATATGAAAATAAAATCATGCCAAATGTTTTAACGAATACCTATGGTGCGTGGAAACCAATAGCAGGTCGGCAGTATTACAAGATAACGAAACATCAAAGAAGTACATTAGCAAATTATGTTTTAATATATATATTTTTCAGTTTTACGCAACGAATGCTAAACTCATAAACGTACTACTATTTCCCCGGGGTCCCAGCTGCGAAACCATATTTTGACACGAGAAACGAGTTTGAACACACCTAAATTCATATTCATACGGCTATTAGTTGCCTCGTATAACTATAACCGTATTTCATTTTCCTATATAATATTAAATGCCTTCACGGAAAACGTTTATACTTCAACCGGACAACCATGACGGTTCATGTATGTGATGGGAGGAATAATAAGTGTTAAATATAGTTGTCGTAAAAAAAAAAAAAAAAAAAATTCGTACGCAGGTATACAAGGAAGGAATATTTTCATAATACAGTTAAATTTAAACGAAAATCGATCAAGGGGTGTACACTTGTACGATACGTGTAACAGAATATCATCACATACGTTTCTCTTATATATTCTTTTATATTTCAATTTATTCGCAAGATCAAACAAAAACTTCACCATTGTTATCGGGTCGAGAAATTTCAATAATAAACAATTATTACATCAACATATGGTAGCTTAAATATCATGCGTGTCCTACATACTCCTGTTTGGACAATAAAGTTCTATTGTCCTCTCGCAGTTGTAATGAATACTGATAATTGACGCGTACGCAGTGCAACAAGCAATACGCGAACCCATAACGTGTAATACCGCGTTGTGTTGTACAACGATTATTGTTCGTATGTGTACCAATTTTGCAAATAATTGAATCACGTACCGGAAACGTCATCAATTAAAGTCAATAAATCTGCGTTTTCGAAATCCGGCATTTCTTTGTCCCGCTTGTCGCCGCCCGTCCACGACTCCATTATCGTTTCTACGTCTGGCATTTTTCTGTCGACACGCATTAAATGAAAATACATCATTTGAACATTGCATCGCACCGTCAATACGTGTGATGTGATGTCGTGTACACCGGACGGCACTTACACAACTGCGCTATGTTTATAATATTAATGATTATTGGTTGTACGCACTTGGAATAGAAGAACGTCGAAGACTTTCCACGGTTCAGCTCGTTTATGTCACGTATCCACTGCTCCACGACTTTTGGATTCTTTTCGGCATTTTCTAATCGCTTCACTACCTATGAAGTTTAAAAATCCAACATAATAACGCATAGTACAAATCACGTGTGTAGGTTTTTGTCACGTGACTATGGCGTATTTGAGGGTGGCGAAGAGGGCATTCGCCACCCCCCCCCCCCATGGCTCGTATTTTTTTTAAATATAATACATTAATTTATTTGAAAAATGTAATATACAAATAATTAAGAATATAAATTACTATTCTATCATTATAACAGGAACATGAGCTGTAGGTAATGAACTGTAAATTATTTTTAAGTTTGTATTGAGGAAAAATTAGTTTCGCCCCCCCCCCCCCATGGCCACAACACAAATACACTCTTGGACTACGGTAGCGTACACACCTGTAAGCAATGTAAACAAATGAATACAATGTCAAGTGTCTACGCACATAATTAATATTTCTAATTCATAACATGACATATTATTTTATATAACTGATGCACATTGTCGCATCGGTATTAGTTTACGAGTCTTGTTTTTGAATTTTGGAAGTAATCACATATGTATGTGACACGCATTAATTAAAAAAAATAAAAAATAAAAACAAGGCAGTGCCGTTACCAGGGAGGAGGGGGTACGGAACTATTTTACCTAAGGACCCAGTTTAGGAAAATTTAAAGGGAGCCCCTTGGATTACAGATCGATAAATACTCGGCATTGCTCATTACACATTATTGATTTTAATATGTTATTAAATCCGCCTCCGAATTAATTTTCCTCAGATCCTGAGAATCCTTTGGATGGTCTTACCTATACGTGTTTACAATATAACATTTTACATTATTACTATTATTTGTTGTCGTTACGCGTCATGTTTCATTACCAGTGATTTGGATAACGACTTAGACGACGCCCGGAGCTGCAAGTTCAACAGGCACGGATCGCTCTGGTTGAGGCTTGGTTCGTCCAAGTATTCCAATCCTAAACCCACTTGCACAGAAGGATCGGGCGCGATCACTTTAATGAACGCATCGGCATCTCCGACGGCTGGCAAGTAGTCCGGTACGAATGGTTGAAGTCTGAACTCGAGTTTGGTCTTTTGAGGGTAGTACCTGAACGACACGTGACATGTATGTTAAAAAACATTTTCGAGAACAATATTGATGAGTATATTTTTACATTGATATGTATTTGAATACGTCCTTAATGTCTTGGGACAAGTGCAAGAGATCGACGTCCTTATTGAAATCCCTATAAACACGGTAAAAGTAAAAGTTTATCTACTAAAACAGAAAAAACTCACAAACTGTCGTCTTATTATTATTAAATCAGATCATGATTTTTTTTTTCCAAATGGCATGTTCGAAAGCAAAATGAGCGTATAAATAAATATATCTTAACATATATTTATTGGTAATATATTTGGTATGCGTATCAATTTATTATTAATAAATGTAAAGTTGATATATTCATGCTATATTATATATTCCGTTTAAACTATTTATTAAAAAAATCTACTAATATATTAAAATAATTAAAAGGTATGATTGAAAAATGATCATATACCGAAAAAGGTAAATTATCTTTCATATGAAGGATTAAAAATAATTACTATACATATAGTATGTGGTCAAATTAACAATAAGAAAATAATTCTACATTATTTTATTATTATTGTTCAAATAAAAGATAATTTTATCATTTAGTTTTACTCTTATATAAAATTTCAAATCTTATATCAATTTAATATAAGTACCTATTGGAAGTCAAATCGCAACTATATGAGTTAAGTTATACCCATAACTTCATTATTTACTTGTTTAAGTTACATTTCTCATCATCATCATATATATGCATACAAAATGTGCCAAAAAATATGGTTTAATAATAAAGTGTGGTATGTACTTTGTAATATTTATATTCATAAATTATTATGCTTCATTAATTTAATTATTACAAATATTCACATAACGTAACAAAATACATGACAATATCTGTTTATATAAGATATTTTAATTTTTATATGATATTAAGATTGCTGAGGAAAGAATTATCACTAATTATATAGATATTTAAGACTGTTTTACATGAACTAAACGATACTGAATGTATAATTAATGTATAAAGCAGCAAAAAATAAAATAATGTCTAACAATTTTGCGAAACTTGATGCGACATTATACATTTATTGTAATTTATTAATAAGACACACGTAACTGAATAAATTTAATATGACTTGTCAGCGTAACATTATTTAAAGTTTTTGAATTTTAGGAGAGGTTCGAACTGTCTATAACTATGTAACTCCAGCGGAAAATATAACTTTTTAATTATTTTCACGTATAGACCAGCCTATGTTATTACACGATTATAAATGTTTTACAAATCAATTTCTAAGCCAATGCAGTAAGACCAAATCAAAGGAAAAACGATAATATTCTCGTAAAAAATTACAACTTTTAATTCTCTTGTGCACCGTTTAGGAGTAAATATATGCAAACGTCATAATAAGTGTGTCATAACAGTTTTGCAATAACATAAGGTTTGAACTCGTTCGGTTACTTAATTTTTTTTTTTTTTATCCGAAATGTCAGTATATATTTTATTAGAAAAACGCATATGGCGGTGGCGGTGTTTCCGATCCGATAACCATGACTGCGAATACTTGCGAAAAACGAACAGCAATACGATTTACGATATTTTTTTATACGTTTCGGAATCGCGTCTCGAAAACGAGAATCGATTTCCCGGAAAAGGTATAAACCGACGGGAGACGATAAAATACGATTTTGGCCATTCAACCTCTGAGCCTCGTGCACGTCGTAGTCGTCGTCTGGGTCTTCTTTAGCCGCCTCGTCCGGGTCTGCGCAATCGACGGCCCGAAGCCTGGACCGTGACCTTCGACCCGAACCGCTGGACATCTGCGACAGAACGCGTAAAATGAACACACGGGTCGTAAACCGTTACCGGCAGTCGATCCTGGGACCAGACCTTACCAGGAGTTTCCGCTGCTTGGCGCTGGGCGTCCTCAGGTCCCGGCTGCTGTCGTTGCCGATGCTGCTGCTGCTGCTGCCGCTGTCGTCGCTGCCGCTGTCCACATCCTCGGCATCCCTGACGTCGATCTCCTCGTCGTACATGACGGGTGCGTGCGCGATTCACTAAACACGGTACGGTATCCCTGGCACTGCGAACAGGGTCTCCAGGGTCTCCGGAATGACCACGCTCGGCTCGTCCGCCCGATGTCGTCGGCCGCATTGTTTTGACAGGCCGTTGCCGTTGGTTACAACCGTCGTGGATCGATCGCCTCGTGTTTTCGGTACTCCTCGACAAATCGTCAACTCTCGACCGGGAAAATATTAGTCCGCGGTGATATTAGACGGTCATTACAAGTCTTCCGCCGATTTTCGGTACAGACGGACATTTATTAACGTTTGAGCTTCCGCGAACCAAACGGACCTGTAGGACCTATGTGTTTTTTTTTTTTTTATTTTTTTTTTTCAAAACAATTCGTTTGCCGTAGAAAATAGCCGGACGAGTTGCGTTCGTAGGCAAATACCGTTCAGGAAAAGTGCATTCCGATTTTTAATGTTTCGACAGATTTAATAGATAATAGAGAAAGTCTAAGTGTAATGGCATTATTCCCGATACCACTTTAAATATGATATTATCTTATCGTGGATTGCATAACTTTGCTAAATTGAAAATAAATACAAACCAAAAGAATTTTATCGATAAGGATTTTTCATCGATAATCGACTATAACGAAGTAGATATAATGTACACCGTCGCAGGTAATCCGCTTGTACGGCTGCAACATAACGACCGAATTACGTACCTAGATTTAATAACTACTGTTCTGTAAATGAATCGTAAAAAATTGTTACCGAACGTGTAAACATAAACGTACGGTAATACAAATAAAAAACACCTTTCCATAAGATACAATCATCGTTTGTATACGTTTTCAATACCTTATTTGGTCGACAATAACCAATTACATTCGATTGAAACGGGTTACATGAATTATTTCACTATTCGTCGGTGGTTGACTACTTTTAATCGATCGAATTTAATTTTTATTATTCAAAAATAAATAACATTTTACTTATTACTATGCGTTTTAGTTTTTTGGTAAAATGCACGTATTAATTAAGACACATTTTGTTTAGGTTAGAGTATATTCTATAATCAATACCGTAACTTATATCTAAAAAACGGATTTTAGGTTCTTAAGAGCTTAAAATATGATGCTAATGTGCTCTAAAATAACCCTAAAATAATCTCTAAATATCCTTTAAACTTGTAAATATGCAGATAATATGCTCCAAGAAAACTCTTAAATATTGTCTAAATATTCTTTAAACTTGTAAATATGCGATAATATGATTTTTTTTTTCTTAAATTGTTCAATTAAAACATTAAATTACTGTTATGGGCCATTTCTTAAGTAACAGGTAAATTATTTAAATATAAATATTTAAAACAGTTCATACATAGGAGTATAAATATAATAAAATTATTTAGTTAAAACAGAATAATCAAATAAAAACAATGAACAACTTGTATGCACCATTTCTTGGTAAAATATAAACTATTTAAATGGAAAAAATTTATAACAGTTATGTTATCCCATGTATGGACATGGGAATATAAATATAACAATTAAATATTTTTTCCCAGAAATATCACAACTCGAGAAATTAATAAAATATTTTTTTTTTTTTATGAACAATAATTGAATATATTCAAAAATATGAAAAATAGGCTAAATATTCTCTAATGTCCAAAATATACTAAAATATACTAAATAAATGTTTTCTTACGAACTCTATGATGGATAAATCGTCCACATTTTTTATCCTCGTAAATCTGCATAAACCCAATAAAAATATGTAAAAACCTAAAGATCCGCTCTCTACTTATATCAATTCCACAGGCGCTCAAATCACGTACAACGTACACAATATACTTGAATGTATAAATAGTTGTAAGGTATACAATATTTAAGGGAACATTATTAAAGTGTAATAAAATGGTGGCCACTTGTTGTTAGTGTGCTACTTGTGTTGCTGTCGCTATGAACAGAAGGAACAAATACGTTTGATGAAATTAATTTGTAATATAAAAAACATTGTGTTGACAAGTACTCAGTTACATACCGTATTATATTTAAAATAAGTATTTAACAATATATATTATATTTATGATGCATATAACTTCAATGATTTTGTAAATCGACTAAAGAAATGAATAAATCAAGCTAAAATTAATATTTAGTTATAAATGTATGTATGGTAGTAAACTTACTCCTTTAATACTATATTTATGTGGAAAACTGATATTTTAATAATGTTACTAAAATTTTATTTACTTTATTGTAAAAGCATTGACTCGATTTACGTTTTACTAATTATAACCATCAATATTTTATTGACATTTTTATAATATCATTAATCATAGTTATTTTTTTAATGATAAATTGTATTTAATGTGATATCAGTAATTCGCATTGTTAAAATATTCTAAAATCGTTGTAAGGAATATAATTATTTATTTTATACTTATGAGAGTACATATTATTTAAATATTTCGTAGACGATAGTTAAGAATTATTCGTCTGTATTAGTTTTTTATCCATATTTCATTTTTTTTTTTTTTTTTACAAAAAAGTTGAACAAATTAAGAAAATTAAATTTGTCAAAATTATTTTTAGAAATGGCAGAACAGGTGCTAAGGAATAGAGTGAATGCGCCTTTAGAATGAATTACTATCATTTATTTATTAAAATTAAAACAATCCAGTCTAAATCATAAGTTAATTACATTCACAGTATTTACATTTAAAATAGTTATTAAATAAATATAACAGCTCGAAATATGTAAATCTGTAGAAAACGATGGACGAAACTATTCGCTTCTCAGTTAAAAAAATAACTCATTAACAAAACAAAGTGAAATGTTCAAGACTCTAAGTTGTATTGAAACAAACAGCTTACTCGTACAGACCCATTAAAATAAAATTGAATTCCTAATATAATTAACTTGTTCACAAAGGTCTAAACTATATAATTACAAATTGTAATGAGATATTTTTACACTGATCTCGTGATTGATGTGTTTTATGGCGAATGCCATTTCAAAATATAAATGCATTTATAATAAATATTTAACAATTGAACATAAATGTATTCATTAAAGTTAATAATATTCAATAGTGACGTTTCAATAAATAAATATATGTATGTATCACATACCTTTAACTTTTTTATTAGTAATTAAACTTCACAATAAGAAAATAATGTTCACAAGACATTTAATGTTTAAAGATTGAACATACTTCGTTATCTCTAATAAAAATGCATATGCACAATACACAGGGAATTTATTAATTAAATGCGTGCAAAATGAAAATAAAATTTACCATCTATAGGTTACTATAATACATACCGTCTCTTAATAAGAAGTGTACTGTAAACTTGTTATAAACAAGCTCAGATGAAAGTTAAACATTTAACTTTATTGATGCGGACGATTATTTAAACTACAAATCCAAGGATTACAATAGTATTTACCTTTACATTCGTTTTTTTTTTTAACTTCAATGCAAACACATCCAGGCGTATAAATTGAAAAAAACATTAAACAATATCATAAAAAGGAAGATCGTGACAATTTCTCGTATAAAGTACCATGTATTTTTTTTTTTTTTTTTTAATACATACCGATGAACCAATTTTATATTCACGACATCTATAATATTATTTCTCAACAAATATTATAATCTATAATAATTCCATTGAAGTAGCTACATTAAGAATATTAGTACTATAATATATTGTTTCTTGTTTTAAAATATAATTAATTATTTGTAAGTGATAATACATTTTAAATAAAACACGTATCACGTTATCGATTTTTTTTTTCGGGTTCATGGTTACACGCAGTGTAATTTTTTTGAGAACATAATATACTCTTAATGATATTATCTTAAATATGTTACACATTTAAGACTTTTAATTAAAAACAATATTGGAAATTGTAGGAAATAAAAGATTAATAGATTTTGGAACAAAAAAATTGTACGATCATGTTGAATAAAAACGTGAATTTGTCTGCACATTCTTAACTGTAATAATAATTTAAGTGTTATATTTTTATTTTATATAGAACAACAGTTAGAAACTGCTGTACAAAAATATATACGTTTTACGTTGACTTGTAAAAAATTATCTTAGATGTTTCTATATAATTGAAGTTTATATTGAACTATATTTTATAAAAAAAATATATTAATTTCACTCGTTGTAATTTATAACATTCAAAATACTGAATGCAATCGTCTTTAATAATTTAGCGTTGTATGCTCGATATTTCCGTGACTGAGTTCGACAAAGAATCATCGGAACATGAATATATGATTGGGAAAATGAAGATGGCAACGAAAAACAACGGAAGAACAAAAAAAAAAAGATTTATAGCAAAATAGTGGACTGTATAATAAATAAATCTTAAAAACTAAAATAACATTTGTCGGGACGGAGGGGCCCTTATATTTAGGTGAAACTTAACACTATAATATTACAAAATGAATATCACCGGATGTGTCCTAAGTTAAATTCGTGATGGTTTAATGGATGTTTTCGCCAGTGATGAAGCCGATGTATTGGTGGCGTCGAGGGGGGTGTATACGCAACAGTATCAACGGTGGCGACATAGTTATGATATTGGCTATATTTAGGTTTTCCAATTCAATACAAACAATAGTGTTTATATTATTTAAGGTGTAAGTTCATTAAGCTCGTATTCAAATGTTGTTCGATGGGGTATACAAGTTTAGTTTGGGCGGGTATCTGTAAATTTGAAAGCCATGACGTCAACTATAACGTTTGAAAAAATAATCCTTATAATGTTATGCGGTAACAAATAAAAAGTGCTCATAAAATTATTATGCAAAATCATTTATGATTTTTTATATAGAATAAGATCAAATTAATCTTATTAGAACAGTTTAGTTTTCTTCAACAGATTTATAATTATGATTTATTTTATTAAACTATTATTTATAAAAGTTTGAAAATTATTATAGTTAAAAAATGTATGAACAAATACAGTAGAATAGTTTAATGCGAGAATCACTACATAATTCGGTCGCATTAAACATTGTAAGATTTACAATTTATATTAATTATAGGATTAATATGTATAAAAACAGTACTGCAGTATAATTTGATTTTAGTATAATTAAAATATAATATAACTAATAGCAATATACTTGACTAATTTCTAGCAAAAAAAACCTAAATTAAAACACTGTATGTGCACTACATTATTTTTTATTCGCAATCTTTTTTTTTTTTTTTAAACATGATCATTTTCTAATTTACTTAAAGCATGAGACAAACACTACAATATAATTTTAGACTGTTCATTTTGAATCATACCCAAGAAAATGAAATATGTTTTTTATTTTTTTTATCACACATCACAAAAAAGTATACTTTATCATCGTCAGGTTATTAAACAAATTATTCTTCTACGTTCTTCGTATGATTATCATCATCCGTGCGG